GAGCCACCGCCCACGCAGGAGGCGTCTGGATCTGCTTCCATTTGCAAGAATCTGTTGTTTTATCTTCCCCAAACCCAAGACAAGAGAACATATATCAGACACGAGATTCCTCCAGATGCACTGCAACTTCGATTTGCTTCATATTTTTTTGTGTTTTCCCCGTTGTGGTTCTCAACTCATTTTGAATCATTCCCAAATGACAAAACTTCCATTTGCTGAAATGAATATGTTTTTTCCCCCTATTGGTCATGTGCAGACATCATTGAGGACCTGTTCTATTAATAGCGGGGGTGTTCCTCTCCAAAAAGCGACGAATCTTCACAAAAACTGCCATGTGCTGAAGAATATGTTTTTTTCCCCTGTTGGTTTTAAAGGGAATCGATCACTACTGGACATATTTCTCATTTTTTCCAGGGGGCTTCTCAGCAAATGCAAGTCTGCGGATGTTCTGTTTTGGAAGGGGAGGACCTGCGACGCCGCAGAAGTTTCCATTTGCTTCAGAATACTAGGTCCCCCAGCTAGGTGCCCTTTTGGCTTCTTGTTTTTTGGTTGGGAGGGTTCCCCTACTATAGACTACAGACAAAAGTTGGTACCAACTGATTCTAACCTCTGTACTGGAGGACCTAGAATATCTTGTAGGGAATCTATCACTACTGGAGCTATAGTCTTTTTTTCCAGGGGGACTTGAGCAAATGGTTGAGGGGGGGACCAAAGAACGGGTTTTCCCTTTTTCCCGTTTTAAAGAAACGAAAAAAGGAGTACCCTCAAACATGGTCACACCCATATAAGTAGAACCTGAACGAGTTATTTGGGTTTGAGTGTGCGGCCAAGGTAGTAAATGGTTAGCCACCTGGGATTCAACCCACGTATAACGGGGTCAACCCAGTCCTTTGTGGGTGAACACCCGGTGGCTAACCACTTACTAACTTGGCCGAACACCCAAGGAGGGCGGCGCGCCCCTCCAGAAACGGCCTAAATTTCCACAAGTGCACACCCCGGGATAAATTTAAGCAGGGGTTATGAATCTTGGGTAGATCTGATGTGGGTACACCTGCCCTTACCCCTTTAAAAAAAAAAAAAAAAAAAAAAAAAAAAAAACTTTTCAACTTTTTGGGGGTAACATGGGCTATATGTCTGTAAAAGATGAGAACTTCCCCAGGGCGCAGGGAGCTTTAAGGGGTAAGCGCCCCACGGAAAGGATATGCCAGGACTGTGCGCCATTTTTTTTCCAGCAGGTACCATCATGAGCTTGGCAGCTTGGAAGCTTGGATCGGTTTCTTACTCCAGTCTAGGGGAAAACCAAACGAGAGTTTTCCTTTGGTTTCTCGTTTGAAAGCAAGGCAAGAGGCTTCTCACAACCGACACCCATATGGCCCATATTGTAAAACATTGCTCCCTCCATCCACTTGGATCTTGCCAGACTTGTTGGTTGTACGCTTGGTTGTACGCATGTCTACAAGCCTGACCCTCCCTATATGTGCCATGGTCAAAGCTATGAAATTTGGTCGGAGGTTTATTTCCATTGAATGACTCGTCAGGAATTGGCCAAAAGGCCGTTTTGCCCTTTTGCCCGATGGTTCAAAATTTTGACCAGGGAAGGGTTCTTGAGAAACTCTTCTCAGGTCCACAGTCCTCTGAATCCGACCATGAATAAAGACATGTGGGTATGGCTCAAAATTCAACAGGAGGGGTTACGCAGGTTTTGGTCCATGTTTCCACTTACCAGGATTCCATTTTGGTACCAGTTTTTTGAGCCATACCCATGTTTCATAACCCTTGGGGCTAAGAAGATTTGGCAAGCCATGGGCCCGTTTCCTTTTTTTTTCATAGGGTACACAAATAGGTAATGCCTGTTTTTAAGGGTGGTTTCATTTTGTTTTCGAATCAGCCACAAACGGGTACCCACACACCCAGACATGAAACACAATCGGAACATGTTGTGTTCTACTCTTGTTCAGGGCAAGCCGCATCAGATGGGTAGCTGTGGCACCGCAGTTGGCACGGTTCTTCTTCACCACTTGCACCGGCATGGCCTCGCACATCACAGTGAGTGCGATGCGACCTTTCTTGCCGGTTTGCAGACCCTCTTGAGCAATCCCGATCCTCACTTGGCCCGCGATGGTTTTTTTTTGACAGAGCAAGCTGACTGCCAAGAAGACCGCATGTGTGATTGACTTCAGGCTCCATCAGGCTTCCATGTTTCTTCCATACTACGCACTCGTGAGACAGTACTTGGAATGTTCGAGGCTTTGGGCCCCAAGCCCATGGGGCCGTTGACCCGAAAAGCCCTGCTAAGTAGCACATATGGGCCTAGGGGCCTGGCATTTTCTCGGTGCAATGCTGCAGCGGTTTTTTGTTTCTCCCGCCAAGGCGTGCTCTTGCACGAGGAGTCCCACTTTTTTTTTGTAGCTCGACTCATTTTTTGCATTCTCACCGCTTCCTTTCACTGGGCTGGAAAACTTGTTGCTTCGAGTGGTATTTACTTATTGCAACGTTGATGTCTTCGTGGCTTGTGTCAGCCCACTCATCCCACTCATCCCACAAGTGGTTATGGATGGCAACGTCATGCTCACTCGTGGGCGAGACGTACTCTGCTGCTGCTGCGCACCCCAGAGGGCCAAATTTCTATGCCAAGGGAATCTCGAAGTACATTTAATAGTCATACTGTGGATGGACGAAATTTACAGGGGAATCACCAATCCGGGTTTTCTTAGGTGGTGCAAAATTTCGTCCATCCACAGTAGTTGAACCAACCACCGTATCAAAGAAAGACAAATATTTTCCACCAGCAAGGGACTTGTTCATTTTTTTCTTCGGACTTTGATCTGATTTCCCCCCATGTGGACCCCCTTCCACAACCTTGAGTCGGAGGTCACCATTGTACACTGGTTCCGTGTAACCCCAGCCAGCGCCAGGTGTTTATTGTTTTGTTGTTTTTTGGGTTCTGGGTTTTCATTTCACCAAAAACTCACTCCCTGAGTTCATGGATTTTTAACTTTTGGCGAAGACCATTTTAGTGGCAAACATACAGATTGAGAACTTTGTCCAACCAATCCACTCAGGAAGTGAGAGAGCAGGCACCTTTTTCCCATGGCCACTGTTCTTCCACGAACCCCCTCCCTAACCTGGAGTCGGGGATCGCCACTGTTTGTTGCTTTTTTGGGCGTGATGGGTTTTCCTTTCTGCAAGCAGGCACCAATCATAGGTGTCATGTTTGGTCGTTTTGGTCGAAAAATACCTGGTCATTTAATCACCTACCAGGGCCACCTACTTGCCCCAAAAAAACACCTATGGCACCAATTTTTCCCATAGTCGGTGGGCTGAGTAACCACGAACAGTTGTACCCATGTTGTGCCAGCCCGGTTTGTCGATCAGGACGAGGAACTGTCGGGGCCTCGACGGAAATTTAAAGCGGCTGAAGGGGCGGGCCTTGAACTTGTATCCACGTTGCCATGGAACCCACCGCAGGATCCATGTTAAAGGAAATCGATCTTCGAGGACCCCTCAGTCAGGTTCCATGTTAGTGGGCAGGAGGGTATAGGTCTAGCAAATGAAAGGTATAGCGTCTATACAAGTTGCTGTTTTGACATTAAATAGCTTTTAGCTGTCCTTTGGGTTTTCCCTTAAATGAAAGGGCACACTGAAGACAAAGACACAGAAATAGAACGCTTCACATGTCCAAAACTCATGAACGGGCTGATTATCTGAAGCCCCGGAGAAAAGCAGAACTTAAACAACAGGTGCGTCACCCCAGTGAGGTATGTGGGACGCTCATTGAGCATGCTTCCTCCCACCAACACAAGGCTCCTGTGGAAGGGTACCTGAAAAGTCAATTCCTGTTTCGGGGGCCCTCTGTCAGATGGCAACGTGGCACACCCTTTCGACAAGGGCTCGAACATTGTGGAGCCCGAAGTTTCCTTTTGGTTGGGCACAAGTCGTGTTTCTAATTAGCTCTATCATACTGTATCTTTTAAGAACCCAGTGCATGTTCGCCAAGTTTAGCGTGGGGCACGAAACCAAGGTGAGTCATCCGTGAACTCTTCTGATAAATATGTTCATCACTATTTAGGTGCAGCCACATGGTTGTCAAGGCTGGTTAGCTATTTCAACAATTCACGTGACCCATATGGGTTATCGACCTAGTATATGTACTAGTTGGGTTGGACATATCAGCATGGTTGATTGGTGGCGGACACAGACCTTACCCCTTTGTTTCCGAAGTTGACGCCTCGGGGCCTCCCAGGATCACCTCGCTTGATTCGCAGGTGTTGCTCAAGCGGCTCAAGCGGCCGCCTGCTACACGACTTGCACGCGGATTTCGGAGGTTGGCTAGTGGTTTGGTAGGAACCCTTTTCATGTTGCCCAACAAACACATATTGACTGACCAAGCATGAATCAAGTACATGTCTTCTTTTGTGCGTACAGCACTGCGCCAAGTTTACTGCTTGCTCTTAGTAGGAAGGGTGGGATTTTCCTCAATCCGCAGCCTGGATCTTTCCTCTCGAACAAGCGAACAAGAGACCACCACCTTTAAGAAAGCCTTCTGCTAAACAAAAGTGGATGGACCCTCAAACTGCCCTTAAAACAGGCAACCCCCCCGAATAATTTTGGGGCTAAGGGGGGTCCAGGTGGATGCGTATCTTTTTTTTGCCAGACCCCCTGTTTCACACCCAGAGGTTGGCGGGAAACAAATTCCAGATGCTCGGTCAGCCGATTTGCAATCGAAAGGTGACACATTGGCAGCCCAACTCATGAACCCGTGCATTGCCGAACTTTCCCAACAGGTTAATCAACCCTTTAGGCTTCCCGTTAAAAGAGGGTAGCTAGGTCCCCCAGTAGTGCCCTTTTACCAACTTTTTTTTGGGAGGAGGGTTGCCCCGACTAACAGACTAAAGGGCACCCTTATTCTAACCTCTCTACTGGAGGACCTAGGTAAAGGGGTACCTGCAAAAGGGCACCCATTGCGTTAGTTCCCCTGTTGGGTCTGGTTCAGTCTTGCCATGGGCCAGAGTCTTTCGCAGAGCAGCCGAAGCCCAATTTCCAGCAGCTGCAAGCCCAACCCGAGCCTGGACGACGTCTTCTTCTATAGCGTCAACGAGATTCGAGAAAATGTATTCTCCATGTTCTCGTTCTCTTCTTCGTCTGCCTCCTGGACGGTGCTTGGCTCAAAAAAGACCGATAGACATGGCCGATTGTTGATGATACTCTCCCGAGTTATTTATTATCATGTCATAATATCAGCTATCAACTTGTTTGACCAGTCATCTACGTTTTCCTAATTCCTAGACTTCGTACTTCTTGAGAACATGTGAGTAGCAAACAGAAAGCTGTGCCACTCAAACGTCAACGGGTCTGCGAAGTCACCTAGGTGCCCGAGTTGGAGCGAGAGAAGCTGGAGCGCGTGAAGAAGGTACGTCTTCGACTCCTTGACGTCCACCTTGAACTTGGGAAAAACAATTCTCGCCAGGCTTCAGAAGTTAGACTCGGGTAAGAGGGCGCCCAGAAAGAATTTCACACACACACACACCAGCGCCGGGTAGCCCGGCACAGAGACACACACCAGCATAAATGAGTAGCTTCAAAAGACGCGCGCGCACACCCATGTCAACATAAACGGGTGCTATCAGACACACCAGAATTGAACGGCTACCCAAGACTCACATGACCACATAAAGGTCATAGACCTGAAACGACTACTAACCCTGGCGTTCAAACCACCATTAAACAAAGGGGGGTTAATACAACCACCATTGTTTGCCGTCCAGGAGTCGCTCATCATCCGAATTGGATCCTTGCCATTCTTTCGATGCGGGCAAGGAACCTTGGGACTAAGCCCAGCACTTGGAAGTTGCAGGTGACGCGGGTCTACTGGTGCTCTGAGCCCCTGAATGAGCTGGGACAGCTGAAGGCGCGAGCGAGTCGCGAGTCAAGATCTCCCAAAATCGATTCTGTGGTGTAGTGCTTTTGGGAATATATGTTATTTTTAAGAATAGGTTCTTTTTTGAACAAACTGCCACCAAAATCGAAGTGTGGTGCTTTGGTCGTTCCTTTTTTTGGAGACCACCCTCAAACTGCCAAGAACCAAATTGTTAAAGGGTAGTTTGAGGGTCCAGGTGGACAAATGTGGATGTTTCTCAAAGGATTTGGCCCCCTAAAGTGGCGACGGTGTCCGTTTGCACAGGGGGGTCCACCATTTCAAGAACATGGAACATATGATTTTGTGTATCCCAGATTTGGGACAAGTTTGGGATCATGTTTAGATTCTGGGAAATGTTTAGTAGACCAAAACAGTTCCTAAGGATGGGTCTCCCATCTCATCCAGGACACCTGTGAATGGGCGTAGACAAAGCCTTCTGTCACCCCCCTGGATTTCAATCGTCCCAGAGATCACCCTGCAAATATATTTGTTTACCCGGCCTGCCGGCCTCCTGGCTCCGGAACAGTCGCAGCGCCGATCGGCTTGTGACCCTCCGCTGCATTGTCCACCCTGTCCTCTTGTCTTAAGATGCCCAATCCTCGGTTTCCTTTGGTGTCCTTTCCCGAAAGGGAATCTGAAGCAACGCTGTGCAACCTTGCAAAAGGATTTTGTCTGCGATCTCACCGTGAGGGGAACATTCGTTATACTGAGCCAGCCTCTGGTTGGAATCAATCGGGAGCCTCTGGGGTGGTACACAAAACTACCCTAAAGCAAGGGCTAATTCTTGCAGCCCCATAACATGATTGGTATTTGTTCATCCTCGTTGTTGCAAAAAAACACATGTGGGTTTAAAAAATGTACGGGGAGTGTATGGTAGTGTTGTACGTCCAGGTTACAACATAAATGGTTTCGGGTTGAAATGTCACATAAGGCTTAAGCTTAATATGGATTGATATGGATTCGGGACTATTTCCTCAAATCTGGGGAGGCCCTCCGGGAGGAGAACCTCCCCGCCATATGACATGTGCTTGGACCAAATTGGTTGGCATGTGTTTAAACCTGGTTAACCCTGTCATAAACTGTTCCGCACCTGCGTACTCGCAACAACACACATAGTTTCGGTGGGTTTCCTGGTTTCGGTTGGTTTCGGTTTAAGTTCTTGGTTGCTGTTGACCCCCCTGCAAAAAGATTCACTTTTTTGCGAGTTTAGTGGCAAAACCACAAGAGATTTCAACCAACAAGTTAAAGTCTAAAGATCCGTCCCCCAATAGCAACCGAGTCCAGGGTCAACCTTACAGGGAAATCTTAGCGCCCAAGTGCCCAAGTGTGTCTATCGTCTCATCTATTAACATGGAACTCACCTTCCATTTGCTTGAGAATATTTTGTTTATTTTCCCATGTTGGTTTAAAGGGAATCTATCACTACTGGCAATATGTCTTTCTTTCTTTTCTCCGGGGGACCTCTCAGCAAATGGAGATCCTTAAAGGAACTCACCGCCCCTTCAAAGCGTTGCTGCGAATCCCCGGCGCCCCAAAAACAACACGTGAGCCACAATCAAAGCCGATTCGGGTACAGGACGATCCCCTTGCCATAAATAGTTGGATTACGACCATTTTGATTTTTCATTATGACTCAGCTGTATTTCTCCTTTTTTAAGGGTTGTTTGGGGGTGAAGGTTGATTCTTTTTGCCTTTGTGTTTGCGGTTTGAGGGGGTTCCCTTCAACATCACGGGGGTTGATCCGCCATTTCCCTTTAAAGGGAACCTCCAAAAGTGAAAATCGGATGGTTTTCCATGCAAAGCACCAGATAAATTGCAACCTTTGAAAGGGAATCCCAGTGTATCAAAATGACCAAGAGTAAATAGAGAAACTAGTGCCAATGCTTCATGGACATCCACGAGTCTCAAAAGGCGCGTCTGTAAACTCCTGCAATCAATTCCCAGCTGGCACCCAGACACATCCAGGTGGTTTGTTTTACCGGCCTTCAAGGAAATTCAGGGCAAGTTGTAGGGGCAATGCTTTGATCCAGGGTTTCCTCGAAGTCTACCGATAAACCCTTTGGTTGACAGTCTTTTGGGTGGTATCTCGTCTGAATGACGCACTAGCCAAAGCAAAGCGATGTTGCTGAACCACTGGTACCATTTTGGGGTAGGTGCACCACCCATTTTAGTTTTTTTTAGTGGGGATTAGGATGTTCACTGGGGGCAACCGGGATTTTGACCCATGGCCACATGGCAGTGGGTCAAAAATAGGTACCCCAAATGGAAGGCCAAATCCATTTCACACCACGAAAATGAAACCATCAAAATGAAACCGTGACGGTTGCTGCTATTTACATCAGGAATCAGAATTGATTTTGACCCATGGCCACATGGTTCTGGGTTTACGACCATTTTTGACAAGGCTCCTCAAAAGATACATTTTGCCCATTTGAAACATGGCTGCTTCCACCAAAATAAAGGGAAACCAGCCTTTACACGGTGAGGTGTATAACGTAAGGATCCCTGCTTCTTTTGGCCCAGAAGCCCTGTTGCGGGCTGAAAAAAGCTGAGTAGCCAAAACAGTTACTTTGAGGTCAAGGTTGCTGGCACATGCGTATACCGGGTTTTCATATATCCCTGTTAAGAAAAGCTAAGCCCTCAGTATGTGAGTGGGAAGCATGACAAGCAACAACCAGTCAGCTTTCCCAGCCGCCCAGCCGCCCAGCCGCCCAGCCATGCCTTTGCTCCTAAGGTACTGTATGTCTGCGGATCCCTATTTGATTACAAACAAGGTTTGAAAGATGGATTAATTGAAACCCTACAGACAAGGTTTGTAATCGCAGGTTTTACCGATCGGTTTTGAATGTCTGCGTCGAAGGTGCTGAGCCCGCGCTCACTGCCAAGGTGGCTCGCCATGCGAGCCTCGCGGGAGCTGGAGGCGAATCCTCTGAGCCGGGGGCTTTTTGACTGGTTCTTAGTTGGGTTCGTGTTGTTTTTTTTCTTGGAGGTTTTAGTGGCTTGTAGTGTGTTGTGGTTTTTAGTTTTTTTTGTTTTTTGGAGGGTTTTTGGTGGTTTGTGGTGTTTGGTTTTAGTGGCTTTTAGTGGATGTAGTTCCCCACCCGACAGGTTGTTAGATTTTATGTTGGAATCCGCGTTTGCATGCTTCTACACCACGCCCCCACCCAGTATCCCGCCAGAGCAGCTCGCCAGCGGATCCCGCCGAGCATCCCGCCAGAGCGGCTGCTCTGGCGGCTCGCCAGTGGATCCCGCCAAGCCAGTGGATCCCGCCGAGTTTCACGCTGAGTATCCCAGAGTAGCTCGCCAGTGGATCCCGTCTCTGGATCCCGCCAAGTATCCCGCTGAGTATCCCAGAGTAGCTTGCCAGTGGATCCCGCCGAGTATCCCGCCAGAGTAGCTCGCCATTGGGAGCATCCCACCAGAACAGCCCGCCAGTGGATCCCGCCGAGTATCCCTTTGAGTATCCCAGTGTAGCTCGCCGGATCCCGCCGAGTATCCCGCTGAGTACCCCTTGCCGGTGGATCCTGCCGTGTATCCGGCCGGAGCAGCTCGCCAGTCTGGTTTTGCTTAATGTCCCACCCGGCGCACAGTTTGGTTTACATTTCATGTTGGTGCCTTCGTGTTTTGAGTGTGCCCTGAGGCTCGGAAAGGGTGATGCTTTTGTGTTGCTTTGGGTTGTGAATAGTGGTTTTGTTAACGGAACCGATGTTTGAGTTCTCGAGATCGGCTCGCAGACAAGTGGAGTTTGACACACCGACTGGTGGATAAGGCTCTCAAGGCAAAGCTTGTTGAGCTAGCCGATGGGAATTTGGAGTCGAAGTGAGTTTGCTTTAACGGTCGTAAGCTCGTGAGTGTGGAGCTCCCTAGGGTGGGGATTGCTCGAGGCGAAGTAATTGTTGCTGTAATTGTTGCTGGTGTTTTTTCATGTGTTTCCCCAACAGCTGAAAGTTTTTGGGTCTCAGCTTGCATAGGCTCCAGGGTGGTCCGGGGCGGCCCTGAGGGAAGGTTCTACGAGGGTTCCACCAGGGTTCCACCAAATTTCCAGGAGGGTTCCACGAGGTTCTGCAAGGGCTGCGGGGTGGTGCGAGCACTAAAAGGAGCACCGCATGCTGTTATCACCCGAGCTTAACTTTTTGTTTGTTGGTTTAGTGGGGTTTCTATTTAGACCGCTAACAGTGAAACTTTAGCAGAGGATCTGGGGACAGCCCAGTTGAGGATTTTTCGTCCAGCCCAGTTGAGGATGTTTCGTCCCGCCTCTTGGAGTTTTTAGTACCCTGTTTGGGTGTTTTCTAAAGGGGGCCCCCTATTTTAAGAGACCAAAAGGCAACTCTATTTTGGGGCTGTCCTCCTATTTGGCCGTGATTTTTTTTGAGGGGTCTGTAACAGAGCCGTGGCGGACATTCGTTACAGACCTCGTTACAGACCTCTGTAGCAAGACACGCGCGCTCGTTACGCACCCCTCGTTACACACCCTCGTTACACACCTCAGATCAACTGGCTTAACATTGAATAGCTGCAATCAATCGCTTTGCTTGCCTCGCTACAGACCTCGTTCCACAGCTGTTACACACCTCGTTACAGACCAACCCCAGCCCGGGCCAGCGACCCCCCCTTTTTGCCGCAGCTTGGCTTGCGTTGAACAGCTGCAGTCAAGCTGGAGCTGCGGAGGCGCGCTTTGCGGGCTGCGCTTTGCTTTGCCTCGTCGCAGACCTCGTTACATAGCTGTTACATACCTCGTTACAGAAGCCCAGGCCAGCGACCCCCCCTTTTTGCCGCAGCTTGGCTTGCGTTGAACAGCTGCAGTCAAGCTGGAGCTGCGGAGGCGCGCTTTGCGGGCTGCGCTTTGCTTTGCCTCGTCGCAGACCTCGTTGCATAGCTGTTACATACCTCGTTACTTACAGACCCAACCCCAGCCCGGGCCAGCGACCCCCCTTTTTGCTGCAGCTTGGCTTGCGTCGAGTAGCTGCAATCAAGCTGGAGCTGCGGAGGAGCGCTTTTGCAGGCTGCGATTTGCTTTGCCCCGTTACAGGCCTCGTTACATAGCCGTTGCATACCTCGTTACAGAAGCCCGGGCCAGCGACCCCCCCTTTTTGCCGCAGCTTGGCTTGCGTTGAACAGCTGCAGTCAAGCTGGAGCTGCGGAGGCGCGCTTTGCGGGCTGCGCTTTGCTTTGCCTCGTCGCAGACCTCGTTACATAGCTGTTACATACCTCGTTACAGAAGCCCGGGCCAGCGACCCCCCCTTTTTGCCGCAGCTTGGCTTGCGTTGAACAGCTGCAGTCAAGCTGGAGCTTTTGCGGGCTGCGCTTTGCGGGCTGCGCTTTGCTTTGCCTCGTCGCAGACCTCGTTACATAGCTGTTACATACCTCGTTACAGAAGCCCGGGCCAGCGACCCCCCCTTTTTGCCGCAGCTTGGCTTGCGTTGAACAGGTGCAGTCAAGCTGGAGCTGCGGAGGCGCGCTTTGCGGGCTGCGCTTTGCTTTGCCTCGTCGCAGACCTCGTTACATAGCTGTTACATACCTCGTTACTTACAGACCCAACCCCAGCCCGGGCCAGCGACCCCCCTTCTTGCTGCAGCTTGGCTTGTGTTGAATAGCTGCAATCAAGCTAGAGCTGCGGAGGAGCGCTTTGCGGGCTGTTTTGCTTTGCCTCGCTTTGCCTCGTTACAGACCTCGTTACATAGCCGTTACATACCTCGTTACAGACCCAACCCCAGCCCGGGCTAGTGACCCCTTTTTGTGCCATGGCTTGGCTTTGTGTCGGCAGTTTGGAGCTGCGGAGGCGTGCTTTGTGTACTGCGCTTGTACTGAAGAGTTGTGACTTTCCAGCGGGAGCTGCTGCTCTTCGTTGGTCTGCGCTACGTTCTGCTACTGAGACTGATACTTGTCAATATTTTTTCCCCGTTACAGACCTGCGTAACGAGGGCCTCCGTCACAGACCTCCGTAACAAGATTCGGCGCGCGTCGCGCGTCACAGACCCTCAAAATAAATCATAGCCATTTTGGGTTTTTTTTCCTATTTTGGGCTGTCCTCCCATTTTGGGTCGGGGTCGATAAACCCAAAATTGAGATCGGGCGGGCATCTTTCAGGTCCTGGAGCTTCCGGTTGGGGGATACCACCTGGGCTTGTTTGTGTTTGTTTTCTTTCTTTCTGCGTGTTTTTTGTTGGGGGGTGGTCCCTTGGCAATGGTTTTGTTTGTTTTGTTTGTTTGTTCTTTTGGCATGGCGGAGTCGATCCTACCTCTAGATCCAAACCGGTTTGCCTCGGGAACATCGGCTTTGTTTGCCTCTGGGAACCCCGGATTCAGCAGAACCAGTGGTTCAATTTGTTCAGGTCCCTTTGAGAAGGGCCTGTCAAACTATACCCTTACAAAGTTGGCAAACGCCAGGTATCTTGAGGCAAGCATCTTTTTGGCAATAACCCTGTTTCTTTTTGGCTTCCCCGAACAAAAGCGAGACCCTCAACAAAAGGAGGAGCCACCCATTTCAAATGGCTCCTAATGTTGACCCAGGATCATAAACCCGTCCCACTATTAGGGGGGTGTTCCCTCCAAAAGTGGTCTGAATACCCACGAACAGGAATTGGACACCCCCCGATCAAAATCAACCAGGGGTTCTGCTTAATTCGGGGTTAACGATAGAAACAACAAAAGGAGGACTCCAAAAGTGGTCTGAATACCCACCAACAGGAATTGGACGGTGAACATTAGAAACAACAGGAGCCGCCCATTTCTGGCTCCAAGCTGGGCTGGGCAAAAGAAACCTCACACCATTTCTCGACAGGGCCCGGCCTCCTGGGAACTGGGACACTCCTTCGCGCTGGTGGACGCACCTCGGAGCGAGAGGGTTGCAAAGGAGCCGCAAGGCTTCGTAGAAGGAATCAGGTTGACCCCGCTTTTTTTGAACAGTTTATGAGAAGGGGGGGTTTTTGGCCCCTCCAAGAGTGGTCGGATTCTTCACTAGACTGGGGTTTATTAATATCTTGAAAATGAAGGATTCAGACATTGGGCGGGGGGGTGGGGGGGGGGCTGGCCAGGTTTAGTTGGGAAGGAGAGTGGCAACTTTTTGGGGCCTTCGGGCTTAGGGCTTTTCTACCTGGAGTCTCCCTTTCTAACCCTTTAAAAATGGTTGGTCTTAACCCAAAAAAATCCAGGGGCCACCCACCCCTCCCCCACCCCGCCCCCCCCACCCCCCACCCCGCCCGACTCGGCCATTGGACTCACTTCGGAAGCGAAAAATGCTCCGGTTCCTTCGTTCGTTTCCCGCCTCCTGAAAGACTGCGGCAATGTCCTCGCGACGACCTGGAGTCTCCACGACCCTGTAAACATGGGTCCACCCCTTTAGATTGGGTATTGACCAACCATTTTTTAAGGGTCAGAAGGAGACTCATGACAACAAGTACAATTCAACTCCTGTAAGAATCACTGGGCGTCGCAGAGATGTGAAAAGGGCTCCTTGTTTGGTATGTCAGGGTTTGTTTTTCCCTTTCAGTCTGGCTCCCTGAGGTCCGTTTCGGATTTCGGACTTGAGCCACTTGGGTTTGTCTCACTCAATTTGTTTGGGGGACCAGGTTTTCCTTTGGTTCCCTTCTAAACCCCAAAAAGGGTCCCTCAAGAAAGACACCCCCAAAGCATGCCCAGCCCACGTGGAAGGCCCTTCACTTTCAGATCCCCTAAGTCAGGTTTCTTTTATTTTGCAGAAGCTGGTGGCAACAGCCCAGCGATTCAATCACAAAAGCCAAAAGCCATACCGTTTTTATCGTAAGGGTCACCTTCCCCTAACCCCCCGCCCCCCCCAAGCCCCCCCCCCCCCCCTGTTTTTTGTTTTCTCGCAACAGGCCTTAAGGTCTTGTTTGGGGGAAGACGTACTGTTTTTTGTTGAGAAAGCCACGGGCAAGGGTGAGTTTCAGGTACTGCTTTTTTCTTTCCGGATGTGATCCCCTGGTTGATGTGGGCAAGTGGGGTTTCCCAGCCAACCTCCACACCTCCAAACCGATTCGGAACCGGCTCCAAACCACTAGAGTGCAGAAAGCCCTCGCCTGGTGGGCGCTTGATATTCTCTGGAAAGCAAAAAAACAAGGACCAGCAAAGGAACGCAGAGTCATTCTAATTGTTTCCTAGGTTCAATGATTGTTTCAGCCGCTCACAATATTGCTGTGTTCTATTCATTTCTATTCGTCCGTTTGGGGAGGACATGTCGGGAGTCCACAAACTTGGGAGCAGTGCCCAAACATGGTGTTAGTTGGCATTTCCAGGGAAGCATCATTCCAGCTGTTGTTTTTTTAGGTGGTGCGAAATGGGTTTCGGTCCATCCACAGTAGTAAGGCCGCCTATATACCGTCCAACCAAGTAAGGCAGAAAAAACACGAGTTAGTCCGACCCAGACGCTCCTGCTGAGGCCTCCAATCGAAGACTCAGACCCTCCATTGAACACCCCAGAGGGGTTTTGGGGTCTCAAAACTTGGCTGTTTGAGGGCCCGACTTGAAGCGTTTGGGAAGTCCTACTGTGGATGGACAAAATCCTGCACCACCTAAGAACCCTGGATTGGTGATTCCCCTACAAATGCAAACAAACAATGGCTTCCAATGGTTTCTCAGGTGGTGCGACATGGATTTCGCAACCATCCACAATATGTCCAAAACCTGCAAATCAGAACCGCATCCCGCAAACCTTGCTGGTTCTCAGTAGGGAATCAGGGAATTCACCCAGGGAGTTCACCCAGGCCAAACAAACACGATCTCGTCCTACTTTCGAACCAAAAGTCGACGACGGATTTCACAAAGTCCACCGAGGTGGAGCTCTCTCCGGAGGCAGAAGAGGGCCGCAGCTTTGAGAGATATCGCTTGAACTGGGGCGCGGGCCGACATCACAATATGACGCCCGACAAAGGAGAAGTGACGTGTGAAGACGAGTGGCTCGTGGTTGTTGGTTTTTGTGTTTATTTGTTTGTTTGTTTGTTTGCTTTGTTTCTTTCTTTGTTTGTTTGTTTTGTTTCGTCCTTTTTGTTTGATTGTTTTGTTTGCGTGTTTGTTGTGTTTGACTGTTTTGATTGTTTGTTTGTTTTTTTGGTTGTGTTTGTTTGTTTGCTTGTCTTTCTTTTTTGTTTGTTTGTTTGTTTGTTTGTGTGTTGCTTTTGTTTTTGACGCTGGGGTGAAACCAAACCACGCCAACCCAAGCTAACCGCTAACCGGTCAAACAAAAAAACACCTGCTGTCGTGCGCTCGCAGCGAGGAACCTACTCATCGAGCGTCAGGAACGAGTCCCCTCGCGACAACTCACCGGGGAGCGGTTGGAGAAGGACTATCCGGGCACCTGTACTGGCCGAGAGCTCCGAGCACCTTGGACGTCTCAGAATGTTGACCCCATATTCTAACTGGTGGTTGGAAGGGAGCCGCGACGGAGCCAAGGGTGTCCAAATTGGTTTTGAAAGAGGGAGCGTTTGGAGCTACCCAGGGTCCAGTAAGCGCATGGTAGTATTCATCAACCAACCAGTTTATTGATAAGGGGGTGCTTCTCCCTGTCCGTGTGAAATGTGGGGGGCACACAAAACCACCCCCATATGAACAAACAGGGGGTGATTCATTTGTCAGCATTACCCAGCTCCTGGCGTGGGGGGGCGGGGTTGGGGGGTTGGCACCTGAAGCAACGGAGCGATCTTGAAAGCCGCGAGTGCATATGGGAGTTGGGGGTCAAATGTGGCCATGGGTCAAAATCCAAATCGTACCCCCAGTGAACATCCGATTCAATCCAACCACTCTTATTGGTCCTAAAATGGGTGGTGCGTTCACCTAGCAACCAAAATGAGATCCCAAAACGGTGTTGGCAACCACAGCCATGTGTTTGCAGCCTGTGAAGCTGCCAGAAAAGTCGCTGGGTGGCACAAAACCGTAAAGGTGTGGATGAAGTAGGGGTGTTCGATCCGCCGAGTTGTTTTACACACATACATGCATATATATATATATACACGTGTACATATATATATATATATGTCCAAGTGGAGGCATCCAGGTTGTAAGGAGGGTATGGCCTAGGTTATGCTCACGTTCTATCTTGGCGACTCGAACGCCCAAGTACCCTAAGGGCCCCCTTAGCAACTTTTGACCCTCCAAATCCATCCTGAAAGGGGAAATACATGATATGCCTATTGGGTGTCAAGCTAAAACTAAGGCCCCTTAAAGTGGTTGCAGCTTGAGGATTGGGCCCATGGCGAACATAGGTGTCCGTTTGATGGGTTTGCTTCTAGAAAGGATGAGTTCCGCCGAATTAGACATTGGTTTTAGGCCATCCATCAAAAAACGCCTATCTCAAGTTGTTTGGATTCACCTCTACTTTCATTTCTGCGAATTCCTCCAAAGCGCAAGGCCTAAGGTCTTTCGAGAACGTCTCTGGGTAGAGGGAAATGGGTTGCAATTTGCTGCAACTGGTAAAAGTATATAGCTGAGCCAATCCTTGGATTCCTGCCTGTTTTGGATTCCAAGTTCCTCGGTTTTCTTTTATATGTTGCAAATGTACCAATGCTCAACCAAACCATGCCACATGGTGAGTTCGGGGGCTGATAAAGATTGGAAGCCTTGACCCCATAGCTTTCGGGGGAAAAAGAGGAGTCACTCATGTCCTGTTGGAAACAGACCTGTACTGTGGATGGACGAAATCCTGACACCTCGGAAACTTTGGGAAACCATTTTTTCTTATTCACAGGGGATCTTATTATTCTAGGGTTTCTCAGGTGGTGCAGGATTTCGTCCATCCACAGTATGGGGCCTGTTGCCTCCTTGATCAGGATCTCTTGCAGCGCTGGGATGGACAGCCCTACGACGCCAACGCTGCGAACAATCGGAACTGCCACCACTTTGTGCAGGATGGGTTCCGGAAACTGACCCCATTAAAGTGAAGGTACTGTCTACGTCCGATAGCTAGGTGCTTTTTTTGCCAACTTTTTTGGTGGGAGGCTTCCCCTACTAAAATAGACCACAGAGATAAGGGTATCCTTGTTCTATCCTCTCTACTGGAGGACCTAGCTGCGGATGGACAACATCCAAGTGGTTTATCCCAGTATTCACGTGGGTTTACCCAGTCGCCCAGGTTTTCAGTTTTTGTTGTGGGAAGGGTGTCCCTTTAAAGTCAACCAACCAAGAAAGAATACCCCACTTTTCGCATGGACATCCACTGGGCATCTGAGACTAGCATGTACCCATTCGGCCATTTTCATGTCACCCCTCGGTTACAATTCCCTGCCCTAGACCTTGTCGATGTAAAGGGGCCAGTTTGTAAGCGGGGCCTTTTGATTTTCTCGGCGGACATTTAAACTGGTAGCGTCCTTGGGGATTCCTTGGTTTAGGTTTCTGAAATAGTTAATCAGTTGACACGTCCCTTTTATGACACCTGTGGCTGGGGCTTCAAGAAAGTCCATCATATTCTTCCATTTGCTTGCGACATTTTTTGTACTTCCCCCTTGTGATTTTCATATGTTCCTTGTTTTTTTTTCAGGGGGTGTGACTTAAGGAAATGGATCCTGTTTGTTTCTCCAAATTGGGGGCCATTTTAGGTCCCAATGTTTTGCTCGTAGCAGCAAAGCCCTTGGGTTTTTAGTCGTTCTTAGCTGGTTGGGTTTCAATTCCACCCACAAGTTGTCTGACAACTTTTCGGGGATCGGAAAACAGACAGCCCAGTAAACTTCGATAGACTAGGTCCCCCAGTAGCGCCCCGTCTTTTTTGGGGGAGGCTTCGGACCTAGCAGATGTCCCGTTGATGAGGCTCCGCAGGGAAGTTTGCTCAAAGTCCCTGGTCGAAGGGAAACTCAGAGAGGGCGTTCTCCGGCAGACGTTTCCAGTTTTCAATTTCGCCTAGATCATGGACCCCCAATTTAAGGGGGGCTATGGGGAGGGGGGGCTATCCCTTAAGCCCCGCGAAGATTCCATCACAAAAGCCCGAAGGTGGTCGAGTTTGCGAAGGGAAGTTCTGGAGTTCAGTTTGTCCTAAAATGCATGCGGCGTGTGATTACAACGGGATGAAGCGACTTTAACACATACTTAGCTTATTTCATAAAAGGCAGCAAACAAAAATTATTCAACCTCTCACTGTACCGAAGCGCGCGGGGATGTCAGAAGCCAGCCGTCTCAAGTTGGCCAAGTTTGTCAAGACCTACTTTTAATGGTCGAGGGACATTACTTTTATAGCCTTTCGCTTTTTAAATGGTCGAGGCTATTTAAAGAATAGTCGAGGAAGCATAGGGTGTTGTTTCAGGGATTCGGAGCCCCGAAATGGCTTCGGCGTTTCTGTTGTGCGTCGAAATGTGGATTCGGAGCCCCGAAATGGCGTCGGTGTTTCTGTTTTGTGTCGAAATGGAGATTCGGAGTGTGTGTCAAAATAGGGATTCGGAGCCCTGAGCTGGCTTCGGTGTTCCTGTTGTTTTCCCTGCTGTGTGTTTGTCAAAAGAGGGATTCGAAGCCCCGAAATGTCTTCGGTGTTCCTGTTGTTTTCTTTGTGTTTGTCAAAATAGGGATTCGGAGCCCCGAAATGGCTTCGGTGTTGCTGTTGTTTTCCCTGTTCTTGTTATTCCAAAGAGCTGCAAAAAAGAGGTCTTCCGTCATACAGCCCGCCAAAAGTAGGCCGATGCAAAACGTTACGTGATCAGACCCGTTTTGCAGCAGCTGGTGTTTTCATCCGCTCGCAGCACCCATCCGCAATGCGTCATTGTTTGGGCATGATTCCAGTCAGGCAGCCGATCATCAAATTCAAATGCTCTTTCAATAGTCACTTCCAGGGGCGAATCACTGCCTTCTGGGCCTCATGTCCCGAATCAATCGGGCCATCGGGCTCGCGAAGCTTTAAGCCTTTACGATGCTCGGCAAAGCAACAAGTACTCGAAACGAGCTGGGTGAAGGTGAGCTGACATGGAACGCAGTAGTCCCATGGCATCCTCGTCCACACAAAGCGTTGGTTAAAGCCTCAGAAGGAAGTTTCCCATTGAAACTCAACTCAGGACAAATGCGCCTCGCGCGTTAGTGCCAGCAAGAAATTGCCACCGTCGAGCGCGAGCAAGTTGCTCCACCCAAAGATGCAGTTTTGGCTTGCTCAGCCACCACTTGCGAACCCGCCTCACAAGTGTGGAACCCAGGCCCCAAAGCCTTCAAAATGCATTGCAGAGCGCGCCTTATGGACATCCGCGTCAACAACGGTCCTTAGAAAGCCAATGTTAACACACGCAAAATTGTCAGCGATAAGCATTTTAACACCGTTCTTTCCGAGCTTCTCTGCGAGAAAGCGGCCATGGCTTTGCGACACATTTTCAAGTCGCGCGTGATGGACATCCTGGGCTGTGACCCCCAGAAAAAGACAATTTAACTGGCAACCGCAAAAGGGTCGATGGGTCAATGGCCCAGCGTCAAAGCGACCGCGGTTGGCGCCCACATCTCGCCACCGTGCTCAAATGACAGATTCCTGCCTTGCTCGTGCAGCCATCGCCCCAAAGAGCGCCCAGGCAATAGTAGTTCCCGCCGCCAGATTGACAAAAAGCAATGCGCCAAGAGGTCTGGTCACCATTTGTGAGTTCCAACCTTTCGTTGTCATGTATGCGCCGGATTCCTTTTTGTATCACAGGATTGTGGTAAAGCGTCGCTGAGAATGTCTGATCTTGTTTGAAGTCGCCCATGATATAAAATCAGCGCGGCACCTTTCCAACAGCTCTGCCAAGCCCAGGCTGGGTGGACCGTACGCTCCTCTCTCAAGCAAATACAACATCGCGCTGGAGTTGCACGTCCACAGAAGTCCAAGGTTCAAAACGTGTAAGGAGCAAATTTGCGCCATCAAAACATCGAAGTGGGGAAGCAAAATGAAAGCGCTGGGATTGTTGAAGGGCAACACATCGTTGAGGAATTGCGTAGTCGTGCGCCACTGCGGCGGTCTCAAGCCAGCACACTGAAGCTTGCCAACCGGACATCACGAACCGATAAAGCCCAGGGCACACCGTTTGACCGTGCATCGCGTTAGAAGGACGCCACAGTAGCCCGGTGTATCTGCAGTCCAGCCTGTCAAAGAGATACTCAATCCTTGGAGGAGGATATTCTGTAATTGTTTTTTGCATGAATCAGAATCACACTCTTTTTAACTTTCAAGGCTTGGCCCAAACAAGTCCCCATGTTGAAACGTTGAACATGATGGGCAAAACGTGACTGGCGTTGCGGCTGTGTGCATGGGCGAGCGGTTGAAAACACGACCTAGGGAAACTATTTAAAGTTAAAACGCTGCCAAGTTGAGATTGCTAAGCAACACCAGCGCTTACTTGTTGTCCCACCGGAGATGGGAACCGTCACAGTGCTGGGTTCCTGAGAGCACGGTGCCTGCCTCGCCCCTTGCTTGCTCTGACTAGGCCAAAGTCCGTGGCAGCTTTTATGTTGAAATTTCTTTGTCCTTTCAAGGCAGGCAACGACCCCCAAACTGCAAGGTGGTCAACGCAGCACTGCACACAACCTGTCCTCGTGGACCACATGGGTGTCGCGAGTGACCGAGCCAATGGAGGCAGCCTGAGCCAGAGGGCAGCCCAAGCAACTTTACTCATGGGCAAGTATGGGTATGCTGGGGCAACCACCCCATCGCCAACTTTCTCCAGTATATGTTTTGCAGCCAGTGGCGCAGTAGCAAGTTGAACGCCGGTTGGTGTACTGGGTCCATGATGGCTAATGGGTGCTACCAAGTCCGGAATCTGAATGAAACGCATTTTCGCTCAGCTTGCCATACGATTTCACTGCCCTGGTTTTCACAGACAACCCCGCTCTGCAGCAACAGCCTGTGTTGGCTGGCTTGCTTTCTGAAACTTGGCATGAGCATGAGGCTGCTTAATAACAACCCATTTTGTGACCATGGAAAAGGAAGTAATCAAATTGGAAAGGAGTTGGGATTAGATGGTGGGGCCAATGAATCCACCACATCCACGCCTTGTAATTGGCCACAGCATGCAACCTGTCCGCTCATCTTGTAAATGCGCAGCGGTGGCCCCCGAGGTCCTTCATCATCGCGCTCCTTGTGTTCGAGCTCCTTAGCACGATGAGGCAGCGGGGAAGGGCAAGGTAATTCAGGATTCAACAGCTGACCATTTCACTTGACAAGCTGATTAATCAGTGAGAGCGGCAGTGGCAAATCTGCCTCAGGCCACCCGGCAATGCTCAAAGCCTCTTGCACCTTCTTGTCAGCAGCTGCGATCTTCTGACAGGGCAGGTGCAACACTTTTGTTGGGATCAGCCTGACAGGGGCTTTGGCGCTTGATGTTTTACGATTTGTGTCGGCATGTTTGCATGAATTGAGACTGATGACTTTTAGTTGGGTTACTGAGAATTGCCCTGCCTTTCTGGCTCCGTGGGTGAGCTCATCCTTAGCCTTTTCCTCCTGAGTCAGCTCTGGCTTCGCCTGTCAGGCAGTGCAAATAAAACTGTTTGCCGGGCGGGGGCTTTTCGCTTGCTGTCGCTGCTGCCGGCTTCGACTCGCCCTCATCCTTGCACTCAAACTTCCGATCCACAAACGCCTCGTCAACCTCATCAGTCCCCTCCGTGGCAAGGACATAGTATTGCTGCGCAGCCTGTGAAGGGCAGGGGTGTGAAATTAATATCGATGCGATTCAGGCAATTAAGTTGTGTTGCAGCTGAACAGGCGATAGCCAAATTCACTCCAAAAACGAGCCGCGAATTGTTGAAGCAGCTTCTCGTCTGCCTGTTTAAACAAACTGATGTCATCAGCAGCCGCCTCACCAACACGCGCAGCAATCTCCACACGAGTTTGCCACCGACGTAGATCGTGCTGTTTGTCCATTTCCTCATTTGCTCAATGATCAACTGGCAGCATTGACCAATTTCATAGTCAAGCCCG